GGGGGGGGGGGTTTCAAAGTGTGGTTAAAATACTGATGTGTGAGAGGGAGATGTTCATACGTCAGGTTTACTTACTGTGGTTTATTGACTGGTAGGGTTGGTTTCAAAGAAGCCGAACATGTGTTTTATTTACTGTTCTTCGATGGTGGTTTATTCCTGTTCATCGGAAGTTCATTTTTCCCAGCAAGTTTATTCACAAGTGGCTGAACCTGTGATTTATTGACCCTGTGGATTTCGTTATAACTTATATCTGCACAGAAAGCACCATTTTCACTCAAAATTATTGATTGTAAGATTGATGCTGCAATTTTATCAGGCCTTAATTTTCTGTTTTTGTGACAGATACGGAGGATGACCCAGATTTCAATGACTCCAAGAACGACAAATTTTTTAGTTCATGCCCACCCTTGGTGTTGGTATGAGTAATGGCCAGCAGCTTCCGTGCATATGGTTGAGGATAATGATGCTGGACAATCGTTTGACGTGCAAGAGGTGACTGAGCAAATCCATCTTGAAGAAATGGAGGATGACTTCACACCAACAAGTGCCTATGAGGCCTCGAGCTCAAGAGCAGCAAGGGCAGATGCTAGGAGATTTGGACAGACTTCAGGACGTTGAACAGTTCAGAAATTTTTTTGAAGGCAGCATGAACCTTTAGTTCTGGAATATAATGTGTTTAAATGTGTTGCTAGTTATGGTTTTTGATGGTGTTTCTTGCACAGACATCTGGTTTTTGTGTCATTATGATTGCTGTCTCATTATGATTGTATACATTGTCTGACTGATGTTTTTTCATTTCACAAAGGAAGTGGAATAGGCTTTGATTCCAAGTCCATATATGTGTTGTTATAATTCCTCATTTCTTTTATTTGTTCCTGCTCCTACTAAATGGGCATCGGTTTGCACATGCCCAGCACACTCAGGCATGAACCTGCAAAACAGAAGAACTATTGTGAAGTGCATCACAGAAATTAGTTATCTTTTAATAACTGGCCGACCTCCTTTTACCTTCCTCCTATATGTCGTTGGTTCACTGTCTTCGCCTCTGCTTGGTTTAACTAAAAAGTGGTTAAGATGTACAAATGATGGGTAATCTGTAATGTGTGTGGATGTGGGTAGTGCAGGGGATGTAAGTGTTATGCCCTAGATCCAATCGATTTAGGTTGTAAACGCTTTTAATATATTTAATGCATTTGATTTTGGCGAGATCTATTATTTATTTAAATTGATTTTGTGATAAATAATATTAAATAATAGAATCTGAAGACCCAATTTTTAGGTAATCTGTTAATCACAAGGAGTTGTGATTGTGAGATACAAATTACATATAATTGGATCTTGAATAAACCATGGTCGTAAGTAATAACGAGATACGGATATCGTTAATACAGTTAGACCATCACGTGTGGCATTTCTTACTTGTGAAGTAAGTAGCTGATCTCACGAGCTAAAGTGTGGTGACACTTAAATGAACATGTGGATGTTTTGTTGTAGAACAAAACATTGGAGACCCGCTAAGAGATTCCACATGGATAACTATTTGAGTGTCAGTGGCTAATCTCTAACGTTCGGTAGTGGGATTGATCCTTTGACTTGAGGTCGTCATAGTACCCTATATGAGGACAGTCATACTTTGGCGGTGTTGGATGTTGCTCTGAAAAGGGCCGCTAATACGACATCGTTCGGGTACGTCAAGAATCGTGTGAAGGTTGTGATTGATCAATAAAGGATTCGTCACTCTTAGATATTAGGAGATTATGATCTGCGTTTCATTCAATTAAGTCGATGATGAAATCCTTGGCCAAGGTGTACTCATAAGTCGAAAAGGAGTTTTCGATTTATATTGACTTAATAGTGGAATGAAAGATATGATCGATGATCGAGATTGACACAATTCCATATCTCGTAATTGATCGGATCGTATTGACGAAGGGATAATAATTCCATGATAAACGAACGATTTTGGTTTTGTCATACCACGTGACATTTCCCGTCACATGTATTGTCCTGACACATTGCTAGATGTCAATCAGGGACGGCGGATGTGAGTTGACGATAAATTAAAAGGGTGTATTAATTTATCGATTTTGATTAGATCAAAATAATATTTCACGACGTTAGGCATCGTGGTCGGGAACCTAATGGGTCGCACACAAAAGAGAATTGGAAGACTGCAAATTGTTAATTGATTAATTTAACAATCGTTGGATAAATCAATTAATTGAATTTCTTATTTATAATCCCGAATTAATTAATTGGATTAATTAATTCACGGACCGGGTTTGATTAATTGGATTAATTAAATATTGGACCGGACCGGGCCGGGTCCGTTTGGGTTTATATATATATGCAGCTAGGGTTTGAGGTCCATTAAGTCATTCATTATTCTTGCTAGCACAAGAAAGAAACCCTAGCAGTTGCTGTTTTCTCTCTGTGTGGATTTCATTGGAGGCTGCACAATTGGACAGCTGTGGGAGGCAGATTCAAGCTGCTGGAAAGGAATAACGCGAAAGAGTTTGCAAATCACACAAAAGGTATATTTCTCATCACAGTTTTTATCTAAATACAAAGCTGAATCCTGAATGGGAATTGAAATCTGTTAAATTCCGCTGTGCATGTTTAAATCAATTCCCAACAATATTTACCTTTTAAAAGTTTTTGAATCACTTAAATGACATCAACCATGAATTGTAAATAGCATGCCAAGTCACTTGACATCTGGACAAGGGACAACTGACTCATTCTGATTTGTATTGAACTTCTTGTATCCTCACTTATTTCATTACTTTCAATCTTTCATTTCATTCTGGAGAAGATTGCATTTCTGTTGGATAAATATTTGTACGTTGCCTCATATCAAGAATCAGGTATTCCTGTCTCTACGTCTTTTTATTGCAGAGAAACAAGTGAACTAAGATGTTTCAACCCTCAACTGTTGTGTATTATCCATTGATTTAATCAAGACCTAACTGCTAAACAATAATCATATCTTTGAATTCAAAGCAGTGAGTTTATTGCTTGTATGTTGTTATAAAAGATTGTAGGGACTAATGTTTCAGAATATCAATGCAATGATTTCATTTATATTTTAGGTGGTTATTGAAAGACAGAACCATGTGATCCCTTGTGCTTCCATGGCCTTATCCCTATTCCTCTTCACCATACAATCTGCTATTCATAGGTGACCTTATGTGAAAGGAAAGATTAGGGTCTCTAGCATGCTTATGAGTGTAGACCAGCTTTACTTCTATCAGTACATTTTAAATGTATTTTTTGGGTAGTAGCTTAGCTACTAAATATATTTGCGAGTAAAGAAAAAAGAATAAAAATACAGTGACCACGTCTGTAGTCCTTATTTTTTTCATTCAAACAGAACTCTGCAAGTAATATTATCTTGAATACTAAGGAAATTGATTTTCAACGTAAACACGATTCTGCTACATTTTCAATTATCTTTGATGATTGGAAGACAGATCAATGTGATTTTGCATTTGTTAATGTTTCTGTCTGGTATCTGGTCCCTATCCAATTGCCCCTTCATCACAAATCTTGGGGAGGAAACTAATATCTCCCCATGAAAGAAAGATGTTCTCTCTACCATATAAAATTGAAACTATGTCATACTTCCTCACATTCTTGTATTGTCAAGTTTCTGAATAAAAATGTGGTACTTGGTTGGGATTCTAATCCTTGCATTCCAATTTTTAAGTTACACTTGAATATTTGCTACTCGCTATTGCTTTTTTCAACCGAGAGTTGTTGAAGAGAATGCTTGATGATTTATGATGTCAATTTAATGGTCCTTAACCCTTCAATTCAATTATATCTCATTTTTCTCAGTATGTATCCCATTCTTCAGCTCTCCACATGCTTTCTTTCTTACACTTGTATAGTGTTCGTATATGTAACACCTTATGTTATCTTTTAATGTCATTATGTTGTGTCAACGATGGAGGTGTCAGTAAAATGATAAATGCCCGTGGGGGGTAATCAGGTGGATTATCTAGTGTGTTTTCCATTAAAGGTTTGGTGGATTTTTAAATGAAGTTGCTGTCTATGAATATTACAAGGATGGTGTTTCATGAAGTTCCAGCAAAGAACATTGTTGTGTGAATGCTCTATTGTCAGGTTATGCTAAGTCTAAATGTGCAGGACAATGGACTATGTTATTTCTTTAAAAAAAATGAACTATATCATTGTTCATGTATAAAGAACATGTGTTTCTACCAAAATAAAAATAGAAAGCAAAATAATTGGCAATATGGGCTCCGTACTTCAGCTTTCCGCATGCTGTCTTTCTTGCACTTTTATAGGTTTGTGTATATAACACCTTATGTTATCTTTTAATGTCATTATGTTGTGTCAACGATGGAGGTGTCAGTAAAATGATAAATGTCCGTGGGGGGTAATCAGGTGGATTATCTAGTGTGTTTTCCATTAAAGGTTTGGTGGATTTTTAAATGAAGTTGCTGTCTATGAATATTAAAAGGATGGTGTTTCATGAAGTTCCAGCACAGAACATTGTTGTGTGAATGCTCTATTGTCAGGTTATGCTAAGTCTAAATGTGCAGGACAATGGACTATGTTATTTCTTTAAAAAAAATGAACTGTATCATTGTTCATGTATAAAGAACATGTGTTTCTACCAAAATAAAAATAGAAAGCAAAATAATTGGCAATATGGGCTCCGTACTTAGCTTTCCGCATGCTGTCTTTCTTGCACTTTTATAGGTTTGTGTATATAACACCTTATGTTATCCTTTAATATCAAAGATGTTAGTTTCAGTATAGAGATGATATAAAACACCATATGTTATCTTTTAACAAAATTCTATGATCAATGCATTCAACACTTTGCAAACAATTTTATAGAACAAATGTGCTGCTGACCTTGATCTCAGCGGGTATATATTTCTTACTTCCTTTCAATTCATGTATCAGCTTATATAGAGAATTAGGTACGCCTGTCTAAATGCTACCTATTCCAGAAGAACACATGAACTAAGGTGTCTCATCCTTGCACTGATAAGCATTATCCATTGATCGAATCTAGAATTGAACATCTAAACAACTCTAATGTCGTTGACTTACTAATCTAAGTTGTAGGTAAATTGTGCGGATGCAGTTAGTTCTTTGCTTATTAGGCGGTGATTGAAAGACAAAACCATGTGATCCCTTGTGCTGATGTGCTTCTCTTGCCCCAATCCCAATTTTTCTTCACCACACAATTTGTTGTTGAAGATTTAATATCTGCAGTTGTTTATTTTAGGTGCAACTGGTAGTGAAGCTGCTTTGGCATCCCGACAGGTCCAAAATTTGATTAATATTTATGTCTACATTTGTGAACTGAAATATATTTCTCTGTATCACTCAGTGACCTAATTTTGATATGAAAAGATTAGGTGCTCCAAGCATGCTTCTGAGTGTAGGCCAGTTTTTACTTCAATGAAAAATGACTCCATCTGTAGTTCTTTTGTTTAATTCATTTTTTCCTCTGTAGGCCACCTTATATTAATTGCTGAGTAATTTGATTTTCCAACATAAACAAACTTTTGTTGGGTCAATTTTGTTGACGATTGAAAAACAGATCCATGTGATTTCTCATATGCTAATGTTTCTGTCTGTTTGATCTGGTCCCCTTTCAAATGCCTCTTCACCACAAACTTTAGAAGTAAAGGATTGCCACAGAGAGCCATTCATCTATATATAGATATATCTTAGCATCCAAACAAACATAAGTCCTTCACAACAATCTCAGCTTTCAGTTGTCACACACAACCTAGAATCTCCACTTACTTCCTCGATCAAGAAAGAAAAACTCTGCCAGAACCATGGCCATCCGCATGCCTCGTATTATTCATTCCAAGAATTTTCTTAGACGGGTTTCATCAATGGGAAACCATACAACAGTAGATATTCCAAAAGGTCATGTTGCAGTATACGTTGGGGAGGGTGAAAAGAAGAGATTCATCATCCCAATATCATACTTAAACCATTCTTTGTTTGAAGATTTGTTAAGTCAAGCTGAGGAAGAATTTGGGTTTGATCATCCAATGGGTGGCCTCACAATCCCCTGTAGCATGGATGTATTCATTGATGTCACTTCTCAATTAAGTGTCATATGAAATCTGCTGCTAGCTTAGTTTGGTTGAGAACAATTTTGTAAAGCAGAGTTGTACATTTTTAACCTAGCTAGAATTGATAAAAGCTTGAGGTGGAAAATCATGCCATCCTATGACACAGTTTTACTGTATACCATAGAAAATAAAGTTATAAACATTTTGTAGGAATAGTCAATTTGCTACTTTTTTGGTAATATAATCCATATATTCCAATTCTCAAATTAAATTATTTTGTAGGAATATTATCTACTTGGTACTGCATTACCAACTGAGAGTTGTTGAAGAGATACCTTGATGATATAGGAGATTTTGTGGTGATATGAGGTTTTATGTCTGCCTTCTGCTCAGGGAAACTGGAATTCCACTCAAATAGCCCCATAGTATGGTCCTAGCAGAAGGGGAGACCAATTTTATACAATGAATGTTCTGCTGCCCTGTTACTCATCCATTTGTTCGAAATAGGAAAATCCAATTCTTGATTTGAATTTAAGTATGGATGTACACAATTTTTTTATTGCACAATATATCCCTGTCTATAAACTCTCAGAGGGATTCTTTTGAGACCTACGTTGCCACAAGTATGGGAATTATGTAATTTGAAACATTGAAGTTTCCTCAATTTTTCAGAAACTCTTCAAATGATTAAAGATATAGAGAATGATTAAAAAAAAACAAAAAAGTAAAAAACTGATCTTCACTCACTTATACTTAATCGTTTATGTTACAGAGTACATATAGCCCTAAAAAATCAGCAGTCTGATTCTATCTCATAATCTACCATCTGAATAGAATACCCTACTTTACAACGTGATATGTATAGATACACATAATAAAATGAAATTAGATTTTCTACACGAAACCTTTTGTTGGGGTTAAAAAGTGACGTGGCACCTTTTGACTCAACTTGAAAGAAATAACGAAAACTTGAGGGAGTGGTGAGGTGAGGTCGGAATTTAGACTACATTCGTACTCGAAGAGAGATATAAAACGTAAAGTGTATTAATCAGAGAGAATTTGATTCTCCATCCCCTTAGATAGGGAAAGAAATTACAATTACCAGCCGCCTTAGTCATTTATAGCTATAGTAGTCAACCTCGACCTGTGTTCCACTTGTCACGTCAATAATTTTTAATTATGGATCAGGACGCGGCGGTTGCATAATAATTACCTAGGTCATTGGTTTGCCGCCTACTCTACCATTTCTTCCTTCCCATTAAATGATTTTTCATTGAATGATTGCTGCTCGATTATGTTATGTACCCTTCTTAACCGTTCAATTAGCCAAACCCATTTGCTGAGGTCGTCTGAGGAAAACTGGCCGAACTCATTTCTTCAAGGTGGACACGTTGCCAGTGACGTTACAAGTGGATCATGTTCAAGTGGGACCTTTAATCCGATGTCAAAAGTCGAAGGCCAACATTTATCAAAGGAAAAATATATAGAAATTTAAAAAAAAAAAAATGTATATGGTATGCAAAATTATCTTTTAGAAGGATATTGCAGGTTCATGTCTGGCTTATGCGATGTCACTTAATTTGAATTTATATGCATTTAAACTTCTTATATTACTAATTTCAGTTAGTCCTAGAGAAGATTCCATTTCTGCAGGGTAATACTTGTCAAACAATCCAAAAGAAAATAAAGAAAAAGGAGGAGGCTAGGGTTTCATTGATACTACATTAATTAATTGAATGCTAAAAGATGGTTTAACCTAAATATAAAGAAAATATATATAGGCTAAACAAAGGAAACTAAAAAGGACTATTCTACCCTTAATAATTAATAAATAATTCTATATTTCTTAACAATACTTTAGTGTCAACTGGTACGTTTTCTTAGTGCTAATATCTACATCACCTCATATAGAGAATCAGGTATGCATGTCTATATGTCACCTTATTCCATAGAAACAAGGGAACTAAAATGTGACAACGGCAGCTGTTGCATACTCCATTAATTTAATAAATAACCGACTTCATCCCACTCGTATATTATAAGCCTCTCAATTCTACTCTTCAATGGATTCGATATCCACTTTCTAATATCTTTGATTTTGGTGCAGTGAATTTATTGTGTTTATGTTGGTAGAAAAATTCAAGGGGACTAATGTTTCAGAATATCTCTATACTGAGTTCATTGCATATATATTTAGGTAGCAATTCAAAAACAAAACCATGTGATCCCTTGTGCTTATGTGCTTCTCTGGCCCCCATCCCTTTTCCCCTTCTCGAAACAATCTGCTATTGATATACGATAGATCAACGTCTCAAGCATGCTTATGAGTGTAGGACCAGCTTTACTTAGGGTTGGACATGGTTTGGTTCGGTTCAGTTCTAACCGATCCGAAATTTTCGGATATTTAGTAAGTGGAACCGTCGGGTCCAAATTTAATTACGGAACCGTTCGGGTTCGGTTCCATATTATAATTAAATTTTTTAATATGTACAAAGTTACGTTAATTTAATTAATGATATGTTCAATATTACCTCTTACAAAATAACGTAATTTAATCTTATGTGTTTCATGTCTCTCTTTACTGAATTCTTCATAAATTTGATTATTAAAATCATAGAAAGAGAAAGATAACGAGCTCAAAATAATTAAGAGAGATGTTGTAGAGCTTTAATTCAATTTTCTCCGGTAGAAACGACACTAGAGTAGAATAACAGATTTGGATAAAATTGAGGTCAATTTGATTAAGTTGATTTTGAATTGAAAATTAAAAATAGGAAAATCATATTTTGTGATTTGAACTAAATTAACTAATTAACAAATTTATTTAGAAGAAATAAAATAATTTTACTTATTTAAAAAAAAATTACAGAGATTCGGTTCTTATTCAATTCTTTGGGTTTTGGCCTACAACCGAGAATCGAACCATACCCGTCGGTTTTTTATTCAAATACCCGTTAGGGTATTTAACTTGAGAAGAACCATCGGGTTCGGGTCGGTTCGAGTTCGATTCGGTCGGTTCGGTTCGGGAGTTTTGTCCAACCTTAGCTTTACTTCTATCTGTAAATCCTAAATGTATCTTTAAGGTAGTAGTTTAGCTGCTATATATTTGCTATACATTTGCTGGTAAAAGAGAAAAGAATAAATAAATAAATAAATACCGAGAGACCCCCACCTATAGTCTTTATTTCTTTCATTCAAACTGAACTAGGCCGTAGTGTCTTAAATACTAAAGAAATTGATTTTCAACATAAACACTATAATTGCAATCATCTTTTGATGATTGGAAGACAGATCCATGTGATCTTGGATGAGTTAATGTTTCTGTCTGGTATCTGGTCCCTACCCAACTGAGAAAGAAAAGCCCTGCCAGAAGCCAAGAAACATGGTCATCTGCTTGCTTCGTAATATTCATTCCAAGAAATTTCTTAGAACATCGTCATTGACAGGAATACGAAAAATGTTAGATACTCCTAAAGGTTATCTTGCAGTTTATGTGGGGAAGACTGAAGAAAAGAGATTTGTCATTCCGGTATCATGCTTGAACCAGCCTTTGTTTCAAGAATTATTAAGTCAAGTGGAAGAAGAATTTGGGTTTGATCATCCAATGGGTGGCCTCACAATCCCCTGTAACATGGATGTATTCAGTGATGTCACATCTCAATTAAGTGTAATATGAAATCTGCTGCTAGATTAGCTTGGTAGAGGACAATTTTGTAAAGCAGAGTTGTAAATTTTATCATAGCTAGAGTTGATAAAAGCTTGCGGAGAAAGCTAATGTCTCCCCATGGAAGAAAGATTCTCTCTTTACCGTATAAAATTTGAAAGCTATCACATTTTTTATTTTTGTATAGTCAAGTTTCTGAATCAAAAATTTGGGACTTGGTATGGATTCTAATCCTTGCATTCTAATTTTTAAGTTACACCAGAATATTTGCTACTGCATTTTCATCTGAGAGCTGTTGAAGAGAATGCTTGATGGCATAGGAGATCAATTTTATGATCCACGCATTCAACACTTAGTGAGGTTTGTGGGAGATCAATCCAAAATATACAAAGCAACTTCTTCAAATTCCTCAATCCTAAAACTCCTTTACTCATTAATTCAATTATGTCTCATTTTTAACAAAATATGGGATCCATTCTTCAGCATTCCACAGCCTTGTTGTGATTCTCCGATCACGAGAAGAGAATTAAAGAGGAAAACAATTCTATTTCTACTTGAATAGAATTTACAATGGAGTTTACAAACTCAAAAAAAACCTCTCAAAAGAATCTCTCTAATCTCTCTTTTTTTTTTCACTCTCTTCTCTATACTATTTTTCTTCCTCTTGAGGGACCTCTTATTCTTTATAACATGAGCTCTCTATTTATAGACAAAATTTTGCTACAAACCGCCACAATTTATGGCCCAAGAATCTGCCTGAAGAAGAAAGAAACTGCCAGCCAACCGCCTCATATTTCTGGATAAGAACCTGCCGTTTTTCATGTAATTTTCCAGCTGCATTTTCAAATTGTTTAGTCAACAAAAGTTGGAAGTAGCTGGATGGTTTGCTGCTAGCTGCATGGGAGTGATAAATTGTTTGGTCAACAAAAGTGGCTGCATGTGAGAGACTTCATGCATGCCTTGCTCTTTAAGGAAATGAACTTGTGGCTAGAACCTGGAAGAAAAATCGATTGTTGCAGAAAATTGCGGCTGGACTTAAATTTTTGCTACTTTGCATGCGTGAAATTTGTGGTTGAATTTAAATTGCTTTAGTTAGAAGAAAAACTCCAAAAATGCGGCTTGATGAATCTGGAATGCGGCTGGATTCATATCACTCCATGCATCTTTATAGGCAATGGAGATGAGAAATTTGAATACAGATTATGGGACCCAAAGACAAAGGTCATCAGAAGCAAGGACGTAGTGTTCCATGAAAACCAAACATTAGAAGACATTGAAATGCCCACAATAACTCCTAATTCTAATTTTGGTCCCCAAAATATTGCTCCAGATCCAGCACTAACACAATTCACCATAGATAACGACGATGTGCATGAGGAAATGCTGAAAGCAGAACATGAGGATGAAAAAGGGGATATTGATCAAGGGGAGTCACAATCCTCTTCACCAGAAGTTGTTGGACCATCACATCAGCCAGATGATGATGCAACTCCTGAAATCAACGATCCACAGGTAAGAAAATCTGAACGAGGACGGATTCCATCAACGAGATATCCAGAACCAGACTACCTTTTGCTCACTGACGAAGGAGAGCCGGAGAGTTTTCAGGAAGCACAAACTCATGTGGACAAAGACAAGTGGAAACAAGCAATGCAGGATGAGATGGAGTCACTGCAGAAAAATTAAACATATGAATTAGTTGAGCTTCCGAAGGGAAAGAAAACATTAAGGAATAAATGGGTTTCAAGCTCAAGAAAGATGGCAGCAGAATGGTGGTAAAACATAAAGCCCGTTTGGTAGTCAAAGGATTTCTTCAGAAGAAGGGAGTTGACTTTGACAAGATTTTTTCACCTATTGTAAAAATGGCCTCAATTCGAGTTATCCTTGGATTAGTAGCCAGTCTGAATTTAGAGCTTGAACAGATGGATATCAAAACAGCATTTCTTTATGGTCATTTATATAAAGAAATATATATGGAGCAGCTAGAAGGTTTTGAAGTTTCAAGGAAAGAAAACTTCGTTTGCAAGTTAAAGAAGAGCTTATATGGTCTTAAGCAAGCACCCAGGCAGTGGTACAAAAGGTTTAACTCTTTCATGGTGAGTCAAGGCTATAAAAGAACAGCTGCGGATCAGTGCATTTATATTCAACACTTTTCAGATGACAATTTTGTTGCTCTTCTATTGTATGTAGACGACATGCTGATCGTCGGATAAGATGCAACAAAAATCAGGCAGCTAAAGAAGGAACTCTTCAAGTCCTTCGACATGAAGGACTTAGGCCCAGTTCAACAGATTTTGGGAATGCACATAACTTGAAATAGAAGGAATAGAAGGTTGTGACTATCCCAAGAAAAGTATGTTGAACGAGTGATCAAGAGATTCAACATGCATAATGCCAAACCTGTCAACATTCCATTGGCCAACCACTTAAAGTTGAGCAAAAATTCATGCCCCTCATCCAAAAAAGAGATAGAGGAGATGTCATTGATACCTTATTTTTCAGCAGTTGGAAGCCTGATATATGTCATGGTATGTACAAGGCCAGATATTGCCCATGTAGTAGGCATGGTGAGTCGTTTTCTTTGTAATCTTGGAAAGGAACATTGAGAGGCAGTCAAGTGGATTCTCAAGTACCTCAAAGGTACATCAAAGATACGTTTGTGCTACGGGGGAGCTGACCCAATCTTGGAAGGTTATACAGATTCAGATATGGCGGGAGATCTTGATAGTAGAAAATCTACTTCAGGATTTCTCTACACTTTTGCAGGGGGAGCTGTTTCATGGCAGTCAAGACTACAAAAGTGTGTTGCTTTATCTACAACAGAAGCAGGTAAAGAAATGTTGTGGTTAAAGCAATTTCTCCAAGAAATAGGGATCAAGCAGAAAGATTATAAAGTACATTGTGACAGCCAGAGTGCTCTTGACTTGAGTAAGAACTCAGTGTATCACTCTCGAACAAAGCACATTGACATTCGCTATCATTGTATAAGAGAAGTGATGGATCAACAGCTGTTGAGACTAGTAAAGATTCACACAAATAAGAATCCAGCAGATATGTTAACAAAGGTGGTTCTAAGGGAAAAGCTAGAGCTATGGAGAGACATAGTTGGGTTGGTTGTCAGATAGCAATTGATTTGAATGCGACTGGAGGGGGAGAATTGATATGTATCCAGCCGTATTCCAGATTCATCCAGCCGCATTTTTGGAGCAAGAATTTGTGGTTGAATTTAAATTTCTTTAGTTAGAAGAAAAACTCCAAAAATGCGGCTGGATGAATCTGGAATGCGGCTGGATACATATCAAGCCTCTCTCTCTTATATTCCATAATTTTTGCATAGATAACACCTTATGTTGTTCTTTAACATTATTTTCTTGAGTCAAAGACGTTGGTTTCAATAAAATGATAAATGCCTGTGAGGAGAAACCAGGTTGATTGTCTAGTGTGTTTGTCGGTAGCGGTTCGGTGGATTTTTAAACGAAGTCTTTTATTTATGAATTATGCATGGATGATCTTTGATGAAATTCCCATCAAGAACATTATTGTGTTAATGCTCTTTTGTCAGGTTATGCTAAGTCTAAAATGTGCAGAATGGACAATTAACTGCGTTATTCTTGTCGAGAAAAAATTGACTATTTTCATCTGTGTACAATGAAAATGCCATAACAAGTGTATTTGAAAGTGCTAATAATGCCACGACAGATGCACACCAGTCATCTTTTTTATATTATTGAAAGTAAATTTCAGGTGGGTTTTTGATTCCAGGGAAGAGCTCCTTGATGAAGTTAAATAATTGAAGAAGATTCTTAATAATGCAGAGACTTGTTTTCGAAAGCTGATTTTGTAGTGGAAGGATGGCCATCAAGATGTATTTCCTGGCTCAGTATAACAATCCCAACCTTATCAAAAACCCAAAATCTCGACCCAAAACCTTTAACCATTCCACACTTCGGTTGCTTTTAATTGTACCCACTTAGAACACAGCAGAGAAGGTGTTTTGCAGCCACAAAGGTCAAGAAGAGAAGGCAGCCGTGGAGCAAAAAGCGAGAAAAGAGGGAAGTCTTCAAGAGACAAGGGCAAGGGCAAAACACACGTGAACATCAAGGGAACAATATATAGGTAACATTAGGTATGAGAGTGAGCAAAGTCCAGTCCAATACATGGGCCAAGTAAACGAAGTAGTAGGTCAATTCTCGTAAGGCTTCCAAAGGAGTGAGACGGGCCATGAGCATCTCTAACTAAAATTAGGTCGCTTCAAATGGCCCCAAATAGTTTTCGGGTCGTGTCATCAATCTTAGGTGTCGATATTTAATTTAGTCATCTAGACAATGCCGACTGGAAAATTCCTATTAGTAACATCATAGCCCGAGATTTATAGAGTATTAAAAACCCAACAGATTTTAGTAAAATTTTCAATATAATTGTGTTTCATGTGGGCTTAGCAGTGTCAGGAATCAGAGATAGGCCTCCATGATTGAATCTTTATATAGGATTTTTCTGCTCGGTATTTGCAGAATGAAGTTCTATAATAGTTCCATAGCATGATCAATGCATTCAACACTTGGCTACCAGTTTTATAGAACAAATATACTGCTGACCTTGTTCTCTGCAGGTAGACATTTTCTTGCTGCGAGTAACGCGCGAACTAAGGTGTGCATCCTTGCACTGATATGAATTATCCATTAGTCGAATCAAGAACTGAAAATCCAAAAAAATTCCATAACTTTAGCTTACAATTGTAGCCTATAATATCAGAAATTGTGGGGAATAATGTTCTTGAATGCCTATGCAGTTAGTTCTTTGCTTATAAATATTAGGCGGTTATTGAAATACAAAACCATGTGATCTCTTGTGCTGATGTGCTTCCCTTGCCCCTATCCTAATCCTCTTCACCATACAATCTGTTGTTGAAGATTTAATATTTGCAGTTGTTTATTTTAGGTGAAACAGGTGGTGAAGCTGCTTTGGTGTCACGACAGGTATAAATTTTGATTAATATTCATGTCTACATTTGTGAACTGAAATATATTTCTCTATATCACTCACTATATGTGATCTTAAAGGCAGTGAAGCATGCTTCTGAGTGTAGGCCAGTCTTTGCTTCAATGAAAAATGATTCCATCTGTAGTCTTTTTATTTAATTCATTTTTTCCTCTGTAGGCCATCTTATCTTAATTGCTGGGTAATTTGATATTTCGACATGAACAAACTTTATTGTGTCAATTTTGTTGACAGTTGGAAACAAAACCATGTGATTTCTCATATGCTAGTGTTTCTGTCTAGTGATCTGGCCCCCATCCAAATGCCTCTTCACCACAAAACTTAAGAAGTGAAGGATTGCCAAAGAGAGCCATCCATCTATATATATTCATATCATAGCATCAAACCATAGATAAGTCCTTCACAACAATCTCAGCTTTCACTTGTTACAAACAACTTAGAATCTCCACTAAACTCCCTCGATCGAGTAAGAAAAATCCTGCCTGAACCATGGCCTTCCGCATGCTTCGTAATATTCATTCCAAGAATTTTCTTAGATGGTCTTCATTGATGAGAAACCAAACAACGTTAGATATTCCTAAAGGTCATTTTGCTGTTTATGTCGGAGAGGGTGATAAGAAGAGATTCCTTGTTCCAATATCATACTTGAACCAGCCTTTGTTTCAAGATCTGTTAAGTCAAGCTGAGGAAGAATTTGGTTTTGATCATCCACTGGGTGGCCTCACAATTCCCTGCAGCATGAATGTATTCATTGATGTCACTGCTCAATTGGGTGTAATGTAGAAAGCAATTTTGTAAATTAGAGTTGTACATTTTAACTAAAGTGGAGAATTATGCTGATAAAAACCTTTGGGAGGAAAATAATGTTCCCCCATGAAAGAAATCTTTTCTGTTAGAAAAATGACGTTGTAACATATTTTTCGAAATGGATTCCATTCTTCAGCCTCACCTTCTCTTTCTGCTCAATTATTGTGTTTGTATCGATAATGCTTTGTACATTTTTTTATTTAGGGGTTGTTTGACAAAAAAAAAAAATTGGTTGAAGAGTTGATTAAAATTTGTGAATCCCTTGAAATGTATAAATAAAATTAATTATTCATTTTGATCCCAACTTTTAAGAGATTTTTTAAAACTATCCCAAACAAGCAATCAGTGTGTTTGTGAGTAGTGAATTGGTCGAAGTTTAAGGTAATTTGCTCTATGTGTGGTGCAGGGACGGTGTTAGATGATATATTAGTGAAGATCTTTTGTCGGGTTATATCGAGGCTAAAATGTACAAAATGGAAAATACTTGTGCTATTGTTCTTAAAAACAATGCTATTTTCATTCTTCAAACAATTTCCTCAATTCTTTTGGATTTTGCACTTATCGTATTTGGCATGCTGAAGTTTCTTGGATTTTTCTCTAATATTTTGATATATATAACTGTGAACTTGAGAACTTTCTTGATGATAGTAAAGGTTGAAATCTCGATATATTACCTAAATCGTGTTACTTTTTGTTGGAAGTTTGGTTTTAACTGAAATGAATGAGAAACCATTTAATTTTAATATATTTTTTTCTCAATGTCATTGAAGAGAAGATTTTGACTTAGATTAATCAATTCCATTGTAAGTGTTAACTGTTAAGAGTTGTTCGAGGAGTGTCTCTTGTGTATTGTGATCAAGTTTGTTTGGAGCAGGACGGTGAGACGAATCTTGTTAGGCAAGGACAGGACTAGAGTACAAAGACTAGACTTGATATTCAATTTCACATAGAAGGATACGAAATAAAGTTAAGGGATAATGTAATTAATTATTTTTGAAGACTGGGGTGCAACAAAAGCACTGCATTGGTATATACAGACACTCCAATGCTCTATGAGCTTTTCGAATAAATTATCACAATGACTTCAAGTTGTATTTGATGCTTGAACATGCTTTTTTTTTTCATTCACATTTGGATTTGGTAAAAGAAGACCCAACCTAATGTTAGACTTGGACCTGAAGCTGAAGCGAAGCTTGAGAGGTGGCCTCCTCCAACCCATATCTTCCTCTTCTTCTTCTTTTTTTTTTTTAAATTAAAAAAATGGATAATAAAATGTAAAGTATAGGACAAATAGGAGTGGGAATTGGGTACTCAGCTCGAGTATTTCAATATCAGAACCATCCATTAAACATCGAATATTTTATAAATGGAACCTTTCGATTAAGGTTCGAATTAGGTTATACCATTAAAAAAAAAAAAAATCGTAAGAAAAAATTATTAAACCCTTGTTTGTCAACCATTCTACCATATTATTTTTTCTGCGGTACTCATTTTCAACCACACATTCTTCATTAAAATAATACTACACATATATCAAAAAAAATTCCTTCTTTTTAACCACATATTTCAACATCAATCACTATTTCATACAGGGGATGGACCCACATGGGGTCAAATGACCCCACGGTTTTTTGGAAATTTTTTTTTCCCTGTTGAAAACGTAATTTTTTTCTCTCCTACTACCTGCTCTCAACAGCCAAGTGACTAACCCAATTAATTTCCCTAACCCAATGTCCAAAAAGCCCAAATCCTAAATTTATATCCATATCCATTAGATAAATATATTATATAATCCACCAATTTCTTCTCAAAGTGCAAATACCGAACACGGATAGCAAACCATCGATTTCTCATTTTTGTTCATGATACGTTGTTCGAAAAAAAATTTATTTTTGACCCCACAATTCGAAGTGTCTAGGTCCACCCCTGATTCCATACTCCAATTTTTTAAATTAAAGGGCCCTAAACAGGACCTAAGATAGTTTAACGTATTTCTTCATAAATTTTAAATGGTTATATCAAACCTTGCACGGTTTTCTAGCGACTTTCTTCTCAATCTTTGAAACGGACTTTTCAATCTCTAACTTTTAGTTTCATTTACAGATTTCGTCATTTTAATATAATTCTGTGGGCGTTAATTTCCTCATGCGAGATCCACAAGCAATTAGTCTTTGACCTTTAGTGTCTTTAGCAAATTTGCCCCCAACCTTTATAATGGACTATTCAATCCCCAACTTTATTTCCACTTACATAATTAGTCATTTGCACAATTAGTCCCTAACCTTTAGGCTTAATATCTCCTTTTCATTTTTAATTTCAAAGTTCGGAAGAAAATGCTTCCTTTAAATCTTGCCAAAATTTGGTTGAATGCATGACTTTACGAAGAAAATTTGTGCAAAATGTTCGAAGAAGACAACTCCGCAACTTGCGAAAATTTATATGCAAATTTACCAAAATTTATTTGCATTATCTGGAAAATCCTTATGAATGGAAAAATTATGACTGCACAACGCAATTTAAGGGCTCAACTTTTAGAGTTGGGCTTGAGTCTAGGAAATTTTAAGTCATACCCTAACTAACTTTCGACTTCTGAGGAATTATCAATGCCGAAGTCATGAGTGGGGCTTGGTAATGTTCGGTGGAACCATAGAAAAGGTGAGTAGACTGAACTATTTGTGAACACGTTATAGTTTCAAAAAGGAATCTACTTAGAAATGGAGTCTACCGATATCAAGGGGCGGACGCATACATTTTATCTTAGAGGATCACAATCAAATTTTTAAAAAAATCGATAAATTTTTTTTTTTTACATTATATGGGTTATAAACTGTTATACTACTTTTTCATCTTAATTATTTTTACATCTAAAAAATTTTAATATATAAAAAAAATTTGATCATTTTTACGAATTCTTTTTGTTTATTATTATTACTTTTTTTTCTCAATCAACTAAATTTTAAAAAAAATAATCTAATAAATTTCCTAATAAAATCTTTGACGTCATTTGAAAAAAAAAAATTAATTGATCGAGAGGAAAAAGGTAACAATATCCTAAAAATGATTGAATTTTTTTTCATATATAAATTTTGTTTCAGATATAAAAATAATCAAAATGAAAAAGTAGTATAACAATTTATAACCCTATGGAGTAATAGAAATTTTATTAAGAATTTTTACATCCAAAAAAATAAAATTTGATATCATACCACATATAAAATTATATTGAAAAATTTGTCGCGTAAAAATAATAAACATTAATAAAATAATTGATTTTTTTTTTCAAAAAAGACGAGTTATACGTCTCTTATCAGTATACACGTTTGACATATGTTTAACTATTTTTGATATTCATTTTGATCACTCAATATGTTTATGATATAATTCTCGAAATGAACTTCGAGAGGTTATAGAATATTTATGGATATGGTTAGCGTATAGTCATCGAAAAAATTTTAAAGTTAGCTTGTTATCGAAATTTTCGAAATATTAGTTTGGAGTGGCCTATTTTGACGGGTCGTAACATTTGCTACGATTGGCCAATTCGTACAACATTAACGACATGAAATATTAGGTTATTAGTACTTCAAAATGATATTAAGAATATAATATTTTAACTTCATTTGATATTCTATAGTGAACCCGAAAACTAAGACAAAACTACTAATAATAATAATAAACTTGAAAAAATTGAGAGTCAAGTGACCCTATGGGTCCGCCCCTGCCAATACCATATTGCGTACTATAGAAATCACAAGATCAAAAGAGGCATCATCCTCATTTTAAAATTTGAATGGGTTAAGAAAGGAAGGTTCTTGAGATATGTTTTCGTCACCCTATTAAGAGTTCTCACGGTGGTAAGCAGAATATCCTATCAATTTTAACAATATTGCCCCAAAGCGGATCATTCATCTTTCACGAGTGAACAATTTTTAGTATCTCCGCCGAATTTGATACTTGGCCCTATTTGATTTAGATAAAGATCAAATTTTTAACAAAAGTTGATAAATTCGTTGTTAAAAATATGATAAAATTGTGAGATCCATTAAGCGCATGTTTGAAGTTCATTAAAACCGCATGTTAATGAGAAATCAGATTTTAAAATAGTATTTTAATATTAAAAAATTCCTAGTACAAAAGACATTTGGTAGAATGAAAAACTTGACAATGGCTCGTTGAAGTTCAACCCCTTTTTGATGGGTATTGTTGTCTAAAATGATCTTTTAATGTGATTTTTGAGAACATTTTATTAAAATTAGAGAAAAATTTTAAATTTACATATAAAATATTTTATTGTATGTATATATTGTTGAAAATGAGTATGAGTGAAATAAATTGTTTTTGTTTTAAATGTAATCAAACAAGGGCTCAATTTCTCCGTTTCACGCTCACTTTATGGCGAGAATGACACTTTTACCCTTCAACTTCCTTAGAGGTACTTTTTTGAAGAATAATGAGGGGGAAATTTGGAATGAAAGAATCAAGAATTAACGCTCATTTTGACATATAAAAATAAAGTTCTTTTATGTTCAAAACAAATTAAGAATATGTTACAGTGTCATTTTTATTGAAGAATGCATTTTGAAATAGTAAATTAATGACAAACATTTGACTAAAACTAAAGAAAAGTTTTGAATTTGCGTGTAATAATATTTTATTAAAGCATATATGGTTGAAAAGAATATAAAGAAAAAAATATTTTGAAAATAATGAGAGTCAAATAAAGACTAATCTCTAAATTGAATTTTTTTTAAATTACTTTTTAGACATATTTACTAAGTCCTTGCTCGTCTACCATTAAAATAGGAAATTGTGTTTTGAAATAGTGAAATTTTGAAAAATGTATGGTTAAATTGTTAAAACAAAATTTTGGATTTACGTACAAAATCTTTTAGCCCCTATTCAGCTAGTATTATTCATTTATTTAAGAAAAATAATGTTTTGAATAAGTAATTTTTAGGAAAATGTATAATTAAAAAGTAAGAATTTGAATTTACGTGTAGAATATTTTATTATGTAAATTAGTGGTTGAAAATAAGTACATAAAAAAAATATTTTCCAATAATGATTGTAAAAATAAATTTGAGAAAAAACAAGTTTTAGTCCCCGTTTGAGCCACATTATTGTAAAAAATAAGAATGAAA